CTTTTGTTCCTGATAACTGCTATAAACTTTTCATTATCTGCACCCAATTCGGCTGAGTTTTCTTTGGCTAAGACCATGTTTTTTGCGATTGCCACTGCTTTATCTAATTTTAAGTCCACTTCGCTGAGCAAGCGTTCTTTGACACTTTTAAACCTTGGCGAAAGCCCGCACACAAAAATGTCTCTTATTAAATCTTCCCGTAAAGTTTTGAATTCGCATGATAGGCTAAGGTTCTTTAAAACAGTTACGAATTCTTCAATTGTCTCTTCTTCAGCTTGCTTCCTGGAGAAGAACCGATATCTCTCCACAACCACATTCACTTTAGGCACGAAGTAGTCGTTAAAACTTTTTAGGAGTTCATCGTAGCCAACCGTATCAATATCATAGTTGAACGAGTTGAACACCAAGAGCGAATCCGGTCCTATGTGGTGCAGCAATAGTGCCACCTTTTGCTGGTCGGTCTGTTGCTCCAGCCCCGCTGCACGCATGTATATTTTGAAGGAATTTTTCCAATTATTCCATGCGAGTGACAAATTGGTTGCCTTTAGGTCCAATGGGGTAACTGTTGTAGCCATGCTGACCACTTTACTGCATTCTGCTGTTGGTTGCGCCTTCTCTGTAGGCATGATGAAAATATATATATATTTATTTCTTTATTTTTTGACCGCGATCTGACACCATGTTATGTAGTGTTCGACACGAGTGGTTGCTTTGTACTGACTCTTCTTTTATTTCTTTTGTCATTTGCTTCTTACTTACTAACATGCATACATAGGGTTGCCAACTACTTACACAACAGTAGGGAGACAGAGGTGGTGCAATCAGCAGTACTGCTACTTTGTTCTTGGCGAATTTGACAGAATTAGTTGTTCGTGTGACGTCATTTTAGCAAACTGTTTGTATGTATGCAAAGATGTTTATATGTATGTAAATATGGCGACCTCCATGGTTTGACAGTTAACACTCTTTCTCTCCTCCATCTCCATCTACTCTTTCCTATTCGTTGCTATCTTGACGTCACCACCCGCAAGAATGCGCAATCTTGTATTCTATCATTCTTGTGTCTTTTCTGTTTGGATCTTCTTACTAGGTGCCAGTGTACACCGGAGTGGTCAGGATGCCGAAAAGATATTTATATTTATAGTTCCAGCTCCGGGGAGAAGACTCCTCTCCCGACCTTTCCGTCAAGTTTGGAGCCATCAGTGTACATGTTTATAGCGTTGCGTTAGTGGAGTTATAATCCTGTTGAGTTGGTTTACTATATACAGCACCATTTATAGTTGTTGTTAAAGGTATTTGATGATATGCAGTCGTCAGTAATTGCAGGTATCGGTATGGACGCCATCGTCATTTTCGGGTGTCCGGATGTACCATGATTCCAGGCAACGGCCTCTCTGAGTCTTAAGGCTGCAATAACGGCTGTTTCACAAGCAATTGCGTCAGGCGTGGATAGATAAAAAAAATCGCGTTCAGAGCTCTGGTAGGGGTACAGCATAGAGCTCCGCTGGTGCATAGCTCCGTACATCTTTGTACCCTTAGAAATTGTTTAAGCGTTGTTGCCTTGCTAAGGGTAGGCCACCAGACCAGGGATCCGTAAACTAAAATCGGACGAATAATGGCTTCGTATATCCAGAGAACCATCCTAGGTGAGAAGCCCCACGATACGCCGATCGGCTTTTTACAGGCGAAGAGCGCTGTGTTGGCTTTCTTGATGCGTTCCATTTTGTTGTCGTTCCATAGCAGCTTACTCTCGAGAATTACACCAAGATACTTGGCAGTATGTCTAAATTTCATGCTTGAGAGTTTTGAAGGTGTAAGAGCCGGTACTTTATACTGTCTGGTAAGAAGGATTAGCTCAGTTTTAGCTGGTCCAAGTAACTAGCGAATAAAGAGTAGCTTGGATGAGATCGCACAAGGTTATCGTGGAAATGGCTCTTCCACGATAACCGCAACAACATCGACATATGTATGTATGTGAGGACCTCTTATCCATCCACCGCCATGTGCCGCAGCAGTTGGTTGACCGTCACTACCCATAGGAGTGAAGTGAGAATACCCCATGCGGAGCGCCCCTTTGATAGACCAGCCAGTGTCTCGAATCAGAGTTTTATCCACCCGCAGGTCCGTCGGAGACGAGGTACTCGTATAGGCGTAGGCATTGTTGAAAGCCCCGCTGCTATGTCCAGTAATGCTATTATTGCAAATTTCTTTACTTTTAGTGATCGCTCATTTTTACAACAAATTGTCTCTTTAATCTTCACGCCGTACACTGCGTCATATCTTCTAAAGTTGCATTTGTCGCTAAAATGCGATGTTGAAAATCCATATCCTCGATTTTGACATGATTTCGATAATTCTATTTCCATTATAATTCGTGCTCATTTACAATTCGGATATTCAAATGACGTTTTCGCTTATAACTACGCAGTATTCGCGTATTAGATTCCAACTCAAAGTGCGCGATACGCTTATTCAATTTTGCTCCTATAACTGTGCATTTTAATATGCGGAAATTTCGATGCGATTTCCCTTGTTGCATTCGGAAAAGTGTATGTATGTATGTAACATAACATGAAAATGCATAGCAAAGCGCCTATAGCATAGCACCACATGAGTGCTGTCAATGAGCGAAACAAGCATTAATTCGGGTATTCGCGAGCGCACGAGCAAATGCATGTATGTGCATGTGTGCGTGTCTGTGTAGGTGTTTGGGAATTTGTGATGCACCGGCAATGCAACGACGACATAATTTGGTAGTTCAGCAGCGTTCTGTAGAAGATAAGTATGCCAAATGTATGTAAATGTTCATGCATACACACACACAAATATTCACATGCAATGCACAGCAGCGGTACTAAGATAGCAGCGGTAATGCATAGATGCGCTTCATGGAATTATTACGTTGCAAACTTAATTGACCACGTTTCAGCAACAAAACTCCCCAGAGCGCAACGCACAGCACTCAACTCGCCCACACATTGCCGCATCACCGCAGCAAAGAGTAAAACGCGATTGGAATCGTAGTTGGGTGGTGTGCTGTCATTGGATAGTTATACATACATATATACGTAGCGGTGAAAAAAAAAAATTGAATTGGATTGTGAAAGTATGGAAAAATTGGTTAAAAATATTTGAAGCGTACGAAATTTGATTTTGAATTTGACTTTTGGCCGCCGCCGCGTGACGAGCGTGAACACCCAGCAGTCGTAACGAAATAGTAAGCAATGTCACAGAATACAAACATACATACATACATGAGTACACATATCAATCCCTTAACAGTCGGATTTATTGCGTAAGCCACAACGGTGTTGATGCGAACGAGACCTGTGACATAACAACGCTGATGCTGTTGAGCTTAGATAATCTGAAGAGTGTGGCGGACAGGGGAAACGGATTGTAAATATAAAAAGCTTTATTCCATTTGCCGCGAAAAAGTTATGTGCAATGGCCAAAGCTGGCTGTGATACTTGGTGGCCGCATGCACGAACGCCTAAAAGCAGACTACATACTTGCGCCGCGCCGTGTGAAAGGCTTAAAAAATATTCAATTCCATTCACTGTATTACTTATGAATTATGAATTTTGTTGCTTTTGTATTTATGTGTTCGGATTTATGCAGAAAAAAACTTCGTCAAACATAATGGCATACAAATTAATTCTGTAAGAAAAGAATGCAAATTCAAAGAGCAGCTTCTTTCTTGACGATGAATAAAATTCGATTTCGGTGTGAATGCATATGTATGACATAGTCAGTGTTTGCGTGGTTACGGATGTACATACGTATGCATTTGCTTATGTAAATCCATTTAAACTTTTAGACTTTATAGAATTTTGTTTAGAATTTTACTTAATGATGGTCTGTGTGTTAGGAGGATGATAATCACTTTAAATTGACATAAGGAACCCCAAAGAAATTATCGAGAAAAGAAGAAACTGCTCAACTCCATTTTAGACATCGCAACGAAGAGGCAACTCCTTTTCGCGCTGCATAAAGTGGCTTTGAAATTGGCATTTCCATAGCTGGTGTGTGTCGATGCTCTTCTCCCGGGTCTTTTTCAAAATTATTTCTCAATTCAGTACATAGCTGGCATATTAAATCACTGCCCTATTTTTCTGATGGCGCTATTCCATCCATTTCAGTTTCCTACAGAACCTATGGATACCTAGAAGTACGCAGCCGCAACGACTGAGCGACACTACTCCTAGGAGTAGGCTCCCATCTCTACACCGCCGTCCATGGGTAGTGCACCTGTATTTTTAAGCTACGATCTGGGTTTAATACCAAGTAATCTGTAGATATATTTTCTATCCATCTATTTCCTATAATACATATTTAATGGAATTCGTAAACAAAAATCTTCCCAAACAAACATTCGGCCGGAATTAGCAATAAAATTTACATTTTTGCAAAAACACGATTTTTGACGCCTTGCTAATTACACTGGAAATTAACCTGATTTGAATGAGAATTTTTCTTAACGAAATGACACAGGTATTTTTTAATGCCCAATTTTATCATTAATATTTGTGTTATTAAATGCCTAAATAAGTAGTTGCAATAAGCATCAGTTTAAGTAATTTTTCGTGAAAATCGTTATCATATTGTCGTCTTAAGCAACCATCTCATTTTCAGGGAAGCCACCTCTCCTGATAAAGTTTTTGCCTTATTAGGGTATGACATTTTAAGGAAACGAAAACGGAATTGTCTCACCAGTTTGCATTTTTTCCTTTCAAACTAACATGAAACGAGAAAGGGACAGCCAAAAACCGAAAGTTTTGGTACGAAGGAAAGCGCAATTAGTCATTGTACCATAAGCAAGATTGGCCTTATAAGTTATAGCGGCGTACACACAAATCTCCAATCTAGTTGACGGCCGCGAACCTTTATACATACATATGTATACGTGCCATTACTTCCAAAGAAATATTCATTCACTTATCGCCGGTCTTGGAGACATTAAATGACACACAAATCGTACAAAAAATTTTAAAAGAACGAATTAAGCGTCTCGTGGTAAGTGTTTAGGACTCACATGTACAAGGTAGAGGAAAATACATATTGTCAAATTGTCTAAAATTTTAGTATTAACATTTTTGGCCCAATTGGCTGCTGATCTTTCTAATTCGATCTATTCCAACTCTTTCATTTGTTTCGACAAAGTTTTTAGTCCATATTAAATTACACTGGAACTCAATCAGCTGCATTTCAAAATCTTTGATTTTTAATCAACCAAATTTAGGCAAATTCAGTTTTTGAAGTGAAGTCACATCAGTAGTGGGATTCTAGAAATCGTTGCGCTAAATTTCTATCGCTAAAAATCTCTGAATGAATGACATATGGGCCTAAAAATATGCAACGCGAAAGCGGAAGGGGTTTAAAATAAAATCGTAAGCATTGTGGATATTGATACACTGGTCTACGATTGCTGATATAAAAGCCTGCAATGTTTAAAATGTTTTGCCAATTTCAGTACCTCTCACTACGCGGAAACTACAACAACAGTTGGGGCATGGGAATTGGTAGCAATTTTAAGTTGAAAATTTTAGCAATAAAAGTGAAGCTAAAAACTTTTTAAAAGGCAATCAAAAGGTCGATTAAATTGGCTTAAAAGTTAAAAGAAAAAAGAAACAAAAACTAAATAAAAGGGAATGGCAGTAAATGAACAAGCCGCCAAATTCAACAAATATTTAGTACTACAAATTTTAATTCCTTTTCATTTCCAGTACATACAAATACATAGTAATATAATAGAATATCCAATTCGCAACAAAAAAAAAGAAACAGCAGAAAAAGTATGTAACTAACAAGTAAGAGAACAAGAACTAGAATAAGAACAAGAACAAGAACGACAACAACAATCAATGACGGCACAGTAAGTAAATTGAGTAACTGTTTTGTAAGCATAGAAGTAGGAGGACTAAAGGAGGAAGTTTTTAATATGTACACCAACAACAAGAATATTGCAATCGAAAACAACAAACTGAAAAACAATGAAAATTGTAGAATGAAAAGCACAAACTTACGGAAATCCATTTGTTCATCTTCCAATTGCCTTATCACAGCCGCATGACTTTGGCGTAGCATCAGCTCCTCCTCCTCGATGGAGTCATCGTAAGCGGAAGTCGATGTAGGTGTGGCCACAGTGGTGTTGGTGGTGGTGGTGGTGGCGGTGGCCTCCTTCGTCGCGGACGCTGGCAGCTGCGATTGTTTCCTTTGGCCGAAGCGTGCAAAAACTTTCACTCGGCTGCCGCGCCGACTTTTCAATGTGCCGCTACCGCTACCCCCCGCACCTGCACCGGCACCGGCACCAGCACCAGCGCCATTCGTTGGCGTTTGTGGCTCGTTGACTGTGGTGTGGTGGTTCGTTTGCGTGTTACCCATTGTCTTGGCTGGAGGTGTTGCGCTTGAGCGAGTCTACAATTTTGTGCGTACAATTGAAAGAGAAGAGAATCAAAAAGAATTACAAGTCAATTACAGCAGCATTGTTTAATCGTATTAATTTTCTTCTACTTAAGTTCGAAGTTAAGTGATATCGAAAGCATTTGCAGAGCCAATGTTGGTTAATGAATGATTCTTGGCGATATTTTGATGAGTCGATTGCTTACAATGTTTGAGCTTATTATAAGTTTTTTATGAGTATTTGAGTGGATAATTAAAATCTTAAAGTGGAAATTGTACATTTTCTAAATAAGTTTGCAGTCCTCTTGAGACATAAATAGCACTTGTTATCGGCAAAAGTCAGCGCTGGCAAAGCGAAGTTTCACAATTTTTAATATTAAAGTTAAAGTTAAAGTGTAATTTAAAGCAAATCCGCGTAAGTGTTACTTTTGCCTCTGAATAGAAACAGACTAAGTGAGCGGTTTTCTCCGCTAGGCCTTGGGTGCTCTTTATTCAGAAAACGTTTGTAATCATTTCCAGTTTTCTTGTTTGGTATAAAATAGGGTTCCTTGTGAAACTGTCTAAATATATAGTAGTAAGTATATAATACCAACAAAAAAGTATTTTTACAACGCAAATAAAAATTAACAAATGAAAACGATGAAATGAATATTTGGGAAGAATCCTGTTCCCTTGGGTTACTTCAGAGACGAGGCAGACGGCACAATGAGCAGTAAGCAGTCGCTAAATTTTCTGATTTATGCTCATTTGCTTGCAACAATTCCCCAGGAGAAATCTCCGATGGAACAACGCACGGGAGTTGTACCTCCCTCTCCGACTTTGTGGATGATCGTCACATGGCCTGGACGATAACATAGTTTAAACCCTTCAAGAGGCCGGGATCCGATGGCTTTATACCTGCACCGCTCAAAAAGGCTCTGAAGGTGTCGTGCAATTGGCTGGCTCCTATTTAAGCGAACTGGGTGAGGGTCATCAGGGTTGCGTTAATCTCGAAGGTCACTAAGGACTCTCATGCTTCCACTAAGCATGCCTATAGGCCTATAAGTTTGTCTTCGTTTCTACTAAAAAGGCCGGAAAACGACTAAATGTCGTGACTGTCTTTCGAGAGCTCAACATGCTTACTGCAAGGGAAAGTCGTTGGCTACTACCCTACTCACATTAGTAAAGTGGATAGAGGAAGCCTTGACCCATTAAGATTATCCTCAAGAGAACTTGGTGGGGCGGGGTTAATGAAAGGAGCAGTGAAATATGGAGACAGGGTTGGTTGGGTTATATTTTGCCGTCAGCTCTCCATGAAAACTTCTGTAGAGCCTTTGAGGCAAAAATTTACTGCTGACGATCGTGACGTCAGTTTAGGAGATTAGCGGAGGTGACTATGACGGCCTGTGGTGGTGCACTCGAAATCGGAATGTCTCACCACTCTTTGGACCCGGCCACAGTTGTGGGAAACTTCGAAGATTCTGACTTGGCAAGAAACTGCACCCTTGAAACGTCATCACCGGGTATGAAACAGCGGGGCGCGTCTTTTTTCCTCTGCGGTTCACTCTTGGATGGTTGGGCCTGGAATGGATGGGGGAGGCCAAAGGAGCTCCTTTCTATTGGTGGAGGTCCCGACAGGCCATTGTGCGATTGGTATTCACGCGGTAAGGTTAGGAATCTCAACTGATCCCTTTTGTATCAGTAGACTGCCCATCCCTCGCGAGGCTAGAAACACTTTGGCTGAGTAACCTGAGGCTCCCAGCTTTCGTGATATAAAAAAGAACCAAGTGTGTCCCTTGTCTGGGGAAACCAATATACCATTGTATGTATGCATGAATTTTGGTATGCACATGAAAAAGGTATCTAACAAAAAGAGGATATCCACACTCTAAAAATTCATACTAAAATATTATTCCTTAACTCAACGATCTTCTTGATAAAATCAAAGTTGATGACATACATATTTTATGCAAAGATGACGAATAACTTTAAAATAAACAATTATATTTTAACTAAACCACAATTTTTTCGCTCTAGGTGATAATGACTAATAAATAAATCGTATATGCATTAAGCTTAAAAAAGTACCCGTAAAAATTGCAAAAAAATATTGCGAAAGCTCTGTGATAATTATGTACTTCGCATGGATGATATTTATGTACATACGGACGTGTGTATGTGTAAATGTAATGTGACTCATTAAATGCAAAAGTAAAAAGAAAAAATATTAATAAAGAAACTCAATCAGTATGCACTGCATCCCTAGCAGTTAATCGACCTTCGCTTGGGTTTCTCGCTTATCATTGGTTGAAAAGCGAACTTATCTACTGAGAGAGCCCCAGTTAATTGGTTTTCCTGGATAATTAAACACAAAGTGCGTATTACGGTATACGTAAGTATGTAAGCAGCTGTCTCGAGAGATGCATCTAGAATCTAAATTTTAGATTAAATAATCAAATCAAAAACCATATTTTAGATGCGAAAGGGGCAAAATTTTCGCCCCCAACATAGAGCTCGCAAAAACCCCACATCCAATCCCAGCGAAGGTGGGTCAGAAACGTCATAACATCGTGCCAAGCATTCTAAATCCTTCTTTATTTCACTGCTTGCGAGCATAATTCTTCATCTATCTGCTAGTGTCTATTAGAAATGTGTTTAGGCGCGACTGCTAACACCCAGCGCCTAAATGCTTGCTATGCACTGCTGCATGTGGAAAATTTCCTTTGTGAAATTTTTGAATATGCACTTCTCAATTGCCATACAATAAAACTTTTTTAATGAATAATAACACTGCTCAACAATTTTTGATCAACTTTAACCAGCAAGAATGAAACAAAACTTTTCCAACGTACAATTTTCTACTGATTCCGCGTATATCGTAATGGTTTATCTATGTCAAACCTAGTTTCTGGGATATCCGTCAAAATATGAAGAAACCCATAGTTTTCTCAGTTTAAAAATTATAAGTAGGTTTAACAGTTTTCTAATAGAGCTCTCCGTAGGGTGGCTAACTTTTTCTGATTTTAAGACGGTCGACTTTTCTTAATTTTCTGTATGTTTTTTTTTTTCTATAGTGACCAAATCACTTGTGTGATTGTATGAAGGCTTTACAAATCTCCCAAATGTTAAAGCGATAGGATGACAAATACAACTTTTCGATGCACATAAGTTACATTACTAAACTGCAACTATGAGTTTTTTCATTTTTTCACCGATATCTCAGAAATTAGGTCTGACCCAGAGAAACCATTCTACTTTGGAGAACTTTTATTTAATTCCTAGTGATTTTTTTTTGTCGTGTAGCGTAATCAATAAATTATTTGAATATACATAATTGTTATAAGGCCATACCAAAAAACCGTTAAAGATAAAGATTACGATGAAAATTATGGCTAAGGTAAGGACTAAGTTTCACTTCTTTCTCGCGTAGGGACTACACGCCCTTAGTTTTTTTTTTACATTCTGAGCATTTGGAATGGATGTGCTTGCAAGTATGTATATCTACTTCGATTATTTTAGGTCTTTTCAACATTTCGCTCTTTTCGAGTAATGCCCAATGTAGAACAAATCGTGTATAGAAAAAAATTTGTTTACATGCGTACATCCTTTTATGGCTCCTTATTTATAATCTGCTACAAAGAGAGCTCTTTGTTGTCGCTTTTACTTTTAGCTGAAGGGAGCAAAGCAATAATACCCTTCTGCATAAGTGCGCCGGATATAAAAATGCAATAAAACTATATATGTCTGTAAGTAACTAGAAAATGTTTTTTATTTGTTCGAAATGATTTATCACTTACTGTATTTTATGACTTCGGTGAATTTCAACAAAGGGAAATTATTATTTATGGAAATAATTTCGCAAATCAAGCAGTCGCTACTAATAAATGATTAAGCACATATACATATATGTATGTATGTATGTCCGAAGTCGATGCTGTTTTTGTTGATTTTGTTTATTTTCGTTGCTTTGTATTCGGTTAAATCTTTATTCTGTTGTGTTAAATCGACTTGACGCCTGCTGATCTTGGAGTTTTAGTCGCGAGTTTAGTTAAACTTGACTGGCATATGTGTGTAGTTGTTTTTGCTTGTATGCTATGCTTTTTCTTAGTATTCAATAAAGAAATCTATCTAACTTTTTTTTTTAAATTTTGTGCCAACTTTCGCTGTAAAATTATCTACTTTATTCAATTCCCTTTATCACTCACTGCCGCCCGATTTTCTTATCTTTGATTTTTGTGCAATTTTATTAACTTAGTTATTTATCATATCTTTAAATTTTTTGTAGCATTTGTTAAAATTTTTGGGTGCGGCATTCAGTTGTGATTTTTTATTGTTCGTTGTTGTTGCTTTGTAAGCAACATATTTTCACACGCTGTGCTTGCTGCTGAGCTACATACTACAATTGCTTTTGCCACTTCCATTCTTGACACAGTTGTTGTTGTTGTTGTTGTTGTTGTTGCTTAATGTTTTGCCTGCTGCCTTTGCCATTTGCTTGCAAATGCGTTGCTCTCGTGACTTTGCCAATTAACTTTAATTTGATTTTCATTGAATTATTGAAGCTACTAAGTATTTTTTTTTTGCCTTTAGCGCCTCGCCTCTCTCTGCCCAAAGTCGATTTACTTTAGTTTCTGGGCCGCACCAGCGATTGCTATTGGATGTAGCGGTGTGATCGGGTGACTCGACGATGATGGAGCAGCGCCTTGTGGCTGCTAATGGCTGCAAATGACACTTCCGTTCCAAATCGCTTACAATTATTTGTTTGTTGATATATTTTTGCTATAATTTAGTGTTGTTGGTTCTTTCACAGCCACTGCATATATGTAGACTGCACACGTTAATGGGTCGAACCGCAACCAAGTCATCAGCACACACACACACACACACACAAACACAGGCAGGCAGGCAGGCAGGCACGCAAATTACATTCACTAAACTTTTTCCACAATTTTCTTTTGCTAAATTTTTGGGTTTCCCCATTTCGTTTGGCACACGGTCACTGTCCAGACTCACTTCCTCTACTTGTTTTCCGGCGAAATGTCAGATTTTCACAAAGCTGCTCAATAATAATTACAACGACAGCACTAACCTACAGCAACACGCAACGCAAGTGTGACGCAACGCACACAGCAGCAACAACAATAGGCGCGGCAACAACAACAACTGCGATTTAGTCAATTGTAACTTGTAAACCACACACTTTGCACTAAAGTTTTTTTTGCATTGTAAACAAACAACAAATGACAGCTGTTCTGCTGCGCTCTCAAATATCATTCGCTATGCTCTCATCTACCCGCAAATGAATGCAAATTTTGACATTTCAACTGACAGTTTGCACTAGCAATTGTTGCAGCGGCACTAAGCGAGCGAGCGCGCACGAGTTTGCGCCTTGCCTCGAGTTTCGTCGATGTTCTGGTAAAAATCGATAAAAAGCGTCAGCGCTGTGCCATGCTTGGCCAATGACTGGCCGGTTTGAGGTGGTCGCCCGGCGGCTGAGCATTGCTCGAGTCGTCGATGTTGGGCGTGTGTGGGTCGAGCACGACCATCACAAAATGAATAGTCATCACAGCGGACAACAGCAACAACAACAAAAAAGCAGTAGCAAATTAAACGATAACAATAAGCATAACAAATGTAAAAATGGCACACACAAAAATAATAATAACCATACTCTAATGATAGCGAGTAACGAGCAATTGTCGCATATGACTATCGTTAGCGCGACAGTTGAGAATTCAAATGCGATTAAGCGCTACAATGCACGTATGTGTGTAAATGTACATTAGAATGCCTCACACTGCAAATGAAAAAAAACGACTGGGCGCTTTCCAAAGTGATTAATAAAATGTTTGGACCATTTCTGGTTGCCACCCAAAATAGTTTGGGTCAAACTCCAGGCAATTGTAATGGCCGAACCGTGCCAAAAATACTCAATAATAAGTGGTCTAGACAGACAGAAAAATTTACACTCTCGAGAGCTAGATTGTCTTGGGGCAACACCCACGTGAAGAAGAGGCCGCACGACACCAACCACCTCTTTACTTGCCAGCTCAATCCCACTCAACAACTAACATCCCTCTCCCTTTGGTCCAAACCTGTCCCGATCCCGATCCCTGTACTGTTTACAACAAGGCATAATTCAAACCATGTACCGTTCCTCTTTGAGGAATAGGGACTGAAAACGGAGATGAGGGCAAATAAAATAACTAGTAATTACGTCAAGGAAGAGGTTTCGATAGTTGGAGCATCCATTTTGATTAAACCCTTGCTAAGAAACACAGGGTTTGGGAGCTTTTGGAAGACATCCGAATGTGTCTGATGTTATATACATATTTATGAGTGCTATAGTGGTAGGTACTAAAACATCAAAGGTTGGCATGCCTCTCGGCCACTGCATCAATGAAGACGTGTACAACTGCGGATATGGAGTTTGGATTCCCACTCATCGCTCTGTTCCATCTGGTTGAAAGGTGAATTACAGGGCGGGCAATGATATTAATGAGCCTGCTAAATAAAACCTGGAAAAAGATTGATTCATAGACTTCTTTGATATGCTTCAACTGTTACCAAGGTCATATAAGGTAGCATTTTGTTGCGTATCATGCCGCTATGTGAATGAAGGTAACTAGGAAGCCGACGAGTTGGTAGGAGAATAAAATTCCACAACGCAATTAAAATAATCAGATTTTTTGAGGTGTTTTCAAATCTGCCTAACTCACGCAAATCCTAATAGTTTTACGAAATATCTTGGCAGAGTTATTCTGGGTGATGCACGTTAATGTATTTTATTGGCACTTTTCGGTTCTTGCGACTTTTCTGGATTTTTGTGAACTGTCGTGATAGATTGATGTATGAATATGAAATCAGTTGCCTATTTGAATTAAAAAAGTTTTTATTTTGCACATAGTTTCTTTAAAACTTTGGCGAAAATGTACATTTGCATTTGACATTGATCTCTTTTCGAAGGATATTTAGTGGAAAAAGGGTTTTCTGCTATAAGTTAGCTTTGATGAAGTAATAGAATTTTACACTTTTAATTATTCTTACTCCCGTTTTAAGACGTAAACGTATAGAGCGCACGAATGAATTCCATTTCAACCAAAATATATTCATGGAATCGTAGAACACTTTAGGGAAGCTAAAATGACACGAAATAATGCCCAGACACTTAAATTTATTTGTATGTTTAATGTTCGTCTACGCTCTAAAAAGTGCATGTAAAACTACTACTGAAAAGTGTTTATTTTTCAACCAGAACCTGTGTAAATATATGCACAAGATGTTCAAGGTTTCATTTTGAACATGAGATGTTTGAAAAATACACATAAATATACACATGAAATGTTTAAAACTGTAATAAATTTTAAAGTAAAAATATATTTTTACTAATAATAAACATTAAGTGCTCATATTTACTAAATTTCAAACAATTTGTGCGTTATTTTTTCCTGCGTGACAAATTTTATATGTAAAGGTGAACATACTGTGTTTAATTTTGCACACATTAGAAGAGGAAACTACCTATCTTTATATGCATACATTTAAACAAAATTTTTTTCGAGCTAATTTTAAACATTTTATGTGTAAACTGTGAAATTTTGAACAATAAATCTTTAGAACATAACAAACAAATTTAAAGTTTGTTCTACGCCACACATATGATAAGTAAAAGTAAACAAGTAGTGTTTAATTTAATGAACACGGTGTGTAAATTTGCATTCATTAAGAGAGGAAACTGATTACCTATATTAATATGCGCAAATTTAAACAAAAAATTTTTAGAGTGTAGATTATTAGATGATTTCCCCAGATATTTTCATTTTCAGTTTGAATTGTATAGGAAAGAGAAATCCAACTTTAACAGGGAAACAATTCTAATACTCGTGCATAATTTAAGAAAATGTTCCGTTCGTTTGGTTAATCAGCAGTGGCGCATCCTAATGATGTCCATATGTATTAGCATACATATATGCTCGAAATACGTACATACATATGTACATTCAAATGTAAAATACATCCATACGTGCATATAGTATAAAAATGTACGATATCTCCGTACCTATTTACATACAATCATTTACATATTTGTGTATATATATACATTAAGGTGGTCCAAAATAAGAAAGTCGGAATTTTAATACGCTCACCCCCTAAGATCCCTATTTTTCTATTTTGAAATCAAAAAATATTTAGAGAACGCCCAAAGCGCTCAAAATTTTCCATGTATTTTATATGGGGAAAAACAACTTTTCGTAAAAATGTTATAGATTTCTTAAAAATCAATATTTTTCGAGCAAAAACTTTTCTTATTTCCTTCAGCAGCCTTCCAATAATAATACCCAATTGTTTATTTAACCATTTTTTAATACCAAAGATTTTGTATTTATCCCCCTCATTGCATTTGCTGGCATTTTCTGTGGGTTTTTGGCATATCTTTAAAATATAGTAACTATGAAAAAATGGTTAAATAAATTATGGGGTATTATTATTGGGAATCTCCTGAAGAGAAACAAAGTTTTCCGATGGAAAAATATTGCTTGGAAAAGTTGTTTTTTTCCCATATAAAATAGTACATGGAGAACTTTGAGCGCTTTGAGTGACCTCTAAATATTTCTTTATTTTAAAACAAAAAATAATGGATATATTTTTTTCGGTATAGGACAATCTTGGTGGTAAGAGCATACAAATTCCGACTATAATTTTTCATATGCATTTTTGGACCACCCTAATATACGTACATGCACATACAAATGCAAACATTTATGCAGCATATTACTTTTATTTTTGTTCCTGACAAAGCGATTAGCACCCAGCCAGCTAATTGTGTGCTACGCCAACGTCATTGGCGCGTCGATTGCTTGCTGCCCATCATCATCGTTCATTTTGGATTGTGGTGTCATCTTCAGCGTCTATTTATTGTTATTGTTGCTATTAGTTTTGCACTTTATAGTCAAAACAAAATTAAGCGAAGGCGCTTGAGTTTTTTTTTTTTTTTTAATAATATTTATAATTAAGAAACTGACCATTTAAGCTTTTTTCTGATAAAAATTGTTTCACATTTGTTTCGGAAAATAGTGCCCGCCGTTAGACAGTTCTTCTCTTAAGGTATTCTTTTCAGATGAAAAGTGCATGATCTGAAATGTTCAGGTTCTTTTTACTAAATGTCTGGACCTCGATATTAAAAGATGTTATGGGACCGTTCGTTTTTTCAGGATTAATATCAGATATACATATACATATATGTATGATACATACATACGTATATCTTGAAACCCCAAAAAAAAATTGTAATGGCTTGCTAAGGTTCAGCGATGTTCGCAACGTCTAATTAATTTAAATTGACTTAATTAAAAAACTTAAGTGAAAAAATTTCTCTTTTATTATTTGCATTTTAACTTGAAAAAAGTGACCGCCACAGTTTGTTGAAATTTGTGTGCCAAGTTCATATTATAAACCTCCATATATCTGTCAAAATTTCGCATCAGCATGAAAACTTTGTCACCTATCAGATGCAGCAAAGCGGCAAGAAACGCACAAACTGCACCGCACTCGCTACTCATTCATTTTCGTTCATTTGGTTTTTATCCTCTTGTATTTTCGAGTTTCCAAATTATTGCTTAGCTAATATTATTACTTAAATGCGGGTGTTCGGACTTTACTCCGATTGGAGTTGATATACTCCGTTTAGTTTTTTAATTTATAAATTTACTCCTCTATTCCATTCCTCATCTGCTCCTTTTTTCACTCATTTTTTGATCTTTTCATGACGGGTTTTTCGAGAGTTAATTTTCGAATTTCAGTAAAAAATTTAAAGCTTAATAAAAATTATTGATTCAAAAAAAAAAAATAAGTTGCTAAATCAAATGGGTGAATAGAATAATTTATTTAATTTTTTCTTGGAAATATGTTGAAATTCGTTGCGTTATATTTCAATTTACTGTTCTGCTGTAGAAAATTTTCGGAGAAGATACCCATTGAAAATATATATAGGAATATGCTTAAAGTAGAAAAAGTCTAGGTACAAATTCACGCAATGTATTTTTTTACAAAGGGTCTAATAAACAAAGATGTATTTCAAGCTAGTTTTATACAGTTTTTTGACATTTATTTTCTATAGCACATTGAGCTTATTGTAAAATTTTGAAATTTTTTATTTGCATGAAGGAAAACACTAATGGCCTTATTCATGAAAATTATAATAGGTTTAAAAGCGACATTTTCATAAAAATTTTCGATTCATAAAACATTCTTCTTTATTTTTTTATGAGTTCGGGTGTTAGAATGCAAATCTACTGTGGGAATTTTATTTATCCTCCGATTTTTCGGGTAAGTTATTTCCGCATCTCGGTCCGAACACTGCGCGCCGAGTACTCGCACTATCATTGTCACACACATATGCATACATATGTGTATCTACCCTGCCGGAAATGTATCTAAC